CTGCCTATTTCGCTAATATTCCTAGTCTACGGCAAAAGATCGGAGTATCATGAGGGTTTTTTTTTTTCGCACTGCAAATTAAAGCAGTCACATAAAACATCAACAACTGCACACTTTCGCATCGGCTGAGAGTGGTATTTATAACCAAAAGCATCTGCTACACAACCTGCAGTAGCTAGTGTCGTCTAATTTCTGAAAAAATCTAAAGAATTCAAACATTTTTGACCTCAGAAAGGTCCAAGAAGGAATACTAAAGGTTCTGTAACTGGACTACAAATGGGCTTTCTTGTCTTCGTAAAGCACCCAGTAAGCAACATACAATATGATCACCACTTCGCCTTGATTCCAAGCTCCATCGTTCTTTCTGTAAATTATCGGCAGAAATCGCAGACGCACGGATACCCATAGATCGGCGGTTAAAAGGAAATTGTTGGGTTTGCTGCCTTCCATCAATGTGATTTCCAACTAGATCAAATCCAAGCAGTGCAGAAGGCTGCCGATTATCCGCCCGTTTAATACCCTAAACGAGCTTAATGTAGCTCATCGTTTATTAACCTGCTGCCATTACTGAGGTATCATAACCTGTACTTTTGCTTTAGATCAAAGCAATATAAATAAACGAACCTTCTCAATGTCAGCAAAAATTTGTGATGGAAATATTCGTGTGCCGTGCCTCTCCCGCATACGAAACAGTAGCTTTCTCACAGGGTGCTCCGCTGGTACTGTCAATTTTTCATTTTTCCGCCTTTCATCCAATTCTTTTTCTCTTTTAACGTCGACCACTTTGCGGAATTTCAACTAAATCTTGTAAATTATCAATGTTTCTGAGCAGCCGCCTTTAAAACCCAAAATTTGGGAGAATTACCAACATTTAAACATAAACCTTGCCCTCTAAGAAATAAAAACCGTAGCGCACACGGGACGGCAGCAGTGAATAGATCTAGAAAAAAAGAGAGGATGGGTTTAAATGCACATAGTTATGGCCACATTAGAAAAATGAGAACCTCGCACCAATCAGTCAGTTTGGCAGTCTCACAGTTAATTACTCAGTGTGCATCTTCCAATAAAATGCAGAAGGTGTGAAATTTTTTTGGAACTGCATTTTCGGCTAAAAAATTGCTTTGAAATTCAGATCAGCTGGTAACTTGCGTGCCAAATACACGTGAGGGCGAGCATTTTGTAAAAGATTACTCGATGGGTGAGATTGTAAGTAAGCACCAAATTTCGAGCAAACGAATTCGCGAAGGCCTTGTAAAAGTCGAGCACCTGCAAAACAAATAAAGTCATAGCTTTCTTGCAGTTCAAGCACTGTGCTGACTCGTGAATGCAAAAGGGCCCTAACGCAGAAAAAAAAAAAAACTAAAAAGTGACTCCACTCACCTCCATAAGTTTATCCTTCTTTATGGAATGTAAATCGGTGTAAGTGAGGGCGCGCACATTTGCAGCACTTTGGCCCGTTCCTAGCTGCCTCCAAAACTCGTCACCGAACACGTCGCCTTTTCCTAAAACACATGTTCTAATCTAGCTGCATCAGATAAAATGGCACTAGGTTAATGAGCCACATACTTGCTAATTAAAGCAGCATCCTCCATCCTACTTTGAAAATTATACTAAAAAAATGACAGCTCCGAAAAAGAAGCCTTTTAATTTGCTAAAAAAAAATAATTTGCTTTCTAATTTGCTACATCGAAATAAAGATGTGCCTGTATTTGAAAAGCAATGAATAAAACCTAATATAGCGACCACTTCTTCATCCTGTATTACTTCGAGCGATCCCGAAACAACGAACCATAGAGCATCGACTGATTCGCCTGTGTGATATATCAAATCACCCGGCGCTGCATGATTGCTCTGCAATCGATTAGCTCTGAACAGTTTGCGTCAAATCACTTTTTACGCAGTCATATGTGGGAACTCTTGCTAATAAAAATATAAAACACGATAGGAGCACAAAATAACAGGCGATGACTCCGTCGAAGATTTGGATTTTGTTTTGTGCCGCTCTGCGTAATGTTTAAGGTTTTGTGCTGAATAAATATTTTGATAGTGATACTGCATTCTAATAATTGATTTGTCCGGTTTACATGCGCTTAGACATATGATCCGCGTAAGAACAGTGAATTATTGCCACACACATACACACACACACACACACACAC